CCCCCCCCCCCCCCCTCTCTCTTCCCACACCTGCTGGATTAGTGGGCTTTCTTCAGCCCAGTGATGCCCTCTCTAGCCGCCTGCCTTGCTTGGCTCTTAATCCTTTCCCGTGAATATTTGACCTGGAGGGGCTGAGTTGCTAAACGTGGGCAGCCCTGCGGGGATGGCTTCTTGGACAGGCCTGTAGGCCGCCAGGCATTTTCCCGAGCTTTTTCGTGTTTGGCTGCTGTTTGTGGCGCCCACAGTGCCTTCTCCCCCCAAACATGGCACTTGGGTTCTTCTGCCAGACCCCTGGTAGCTCCGTTTGTGGGTACTTTTCCATCTGTGTTGGCTGCCGCTCCATCTCTCTGCTCCGTTGAAAGTGCTCACATGAACATGCCAGGGCCAGACTCTCTTGTGGCTCAGTTACCTGAAGGACCATCTCTTCCCATATCTACCTGTCTGGTCTTGAGAGAGCCTTCAGCATCCTTGGCTAGCTATTAAAGTTGGCAGTCATGTACTTTTGCATTGATTTTTTTTTCTTTTTTCAAACTGGGCATTCCCATTTTTGTAAATTTTCCCTTGAAAACCATTTTTTTGCTGAATGGGTTCATTATGTTCCCAATGGAGGCTTTGGGTTTCATTTAGAAGGGATATTAAGTGGTTCTCCATGTCGTTACGCAGAGTATTCAGCATGTGCCATAGACTGAAAATGACGCCCTTGTGTTTGCATTGGACTTAAAATGCAAGTTGTGCTGATGAACATTTTCCAGAAAGCTTTCCGCGTGTGTCTGTGCGACAAAATGCATTTCTCACACAGAGAGAGGCTGCAAGTTTGAACCTGGTGTGCATTTAAAGTCAGCATCTAGTGCCCTTAAATGTTCTTGAGAGAGAGTCTCACGGGAGGGGATTTCTTCGCAACAAGAGGGCCACTGCGGATTCAAGTGCAGCCATTATACAGCCCCCCCGCTGCCCCACTGAACCCTGTGAAGTAAACGACCCATATGGGTGACGGGATTCTATTAATCCAGCCTTGGTATGGGTGAAACGGCCTGGGCGGGCCGGCCCTGTTGCTCCGGCAGGCAGCCGCTTGTGTGCGTGGCTCCCTGAGCATCACGTTCTGAGTGCAGGAAGAGAGGAGCTGGCGGCGAGCGGCTTGGGCACGTTGCGCCGTGCGCGTGGGAAGCATGCCTCCTCCCAGGACTTGGCAGCCGACTGAGACACGATGCAGAGGGGTGCAGGCCAGCCTGCCAGAAATGATTGACGGGCGGCTTTGCACCCTGCCGAGCCCCGGCACGTCTGCTGGCGTGGCAGCTGTGCGTTTCCCACACTTGCTGGCTTGCGTGCGCCATGTTTCGCAGCTCGCTGTGCTCCAGCTCGGACAAGGAGCAAGGAGCAGGGTGCGGAGCCTCTGACTAGTGCACGGATGGGCTGGGTGCCGCTTTGGAGCAGCTCTGGGGGCGCATTCTGTGGCGCGCAAGGCCAGAGGAACAGGGTCAGAACCTTTGGCACGTTTTAGCTTCGGGGCATCTCATCCTTCAGTGGGGGGAGCGCTGTGCAACTCCCCAGAACCACCAAGCCATGGGTGCTTTGGGGAGAGGTGATCTGACTGTCTGGATAACTCAGGGGGCTGAATTTGGCCCGCTGAAGAGCTGGACTTGGCCCCCGGGCCGGAACTTCTCCATTCCTGGACTGGAGGATTGGTCTTCGACCCACGTCGAGTCAGCAAGCTTCCCCCCACCCCATAGCCAGCTGCACCCTCGGCTGCCGTGCCCGGCTGTTCTCTTGAGCAAGGAGTGTTGCGCACCTATCACAGGCTCATGCTCTTGCTAAGGAAGGGGCGTGTCTTTTGCTAAGGTGGGCAGAGGTAATGCACGTGAGACCTTTGGACCGACACAGAGTCCCCCAGGGAGCTGTAACTTCAAGCCCCAGCCCAGTGCTAGAACGCCTGTTCTGCTGCCTGGAGGTCTCGGGTTATACCTTCGGCCTTTTTCCTTCAAAAGGCAAGTCTGGCAGGAAGCGCTGAGACCCCTGCCTGAGACCCCGGAAACCCCGTGCCTGCCGGGACTGGGCAGATTCTGCAGCTGGCAACATTCAGGGCGGCTGCAGCTTCCAGGCGGCCTTCAAAGGCAGGTCCACGTGCCGTGAATCGCAGTAGACTATTCGGGAGGGTAGGGGGACGTGGATTCCTGCGCCAGGCTGTCTGTGTCTTGCTAGCACCTGAACTGGTAAATGCAGTCCCTGCCGTGGAGGCAGGTGAACGGGCTGCTATCCGGCTAACAATGCTGGGCTGAAACCCGCTTACTTCCCCAAGCAGCTGAGCTGTCTGCGCTCAAGCAGTCACTGCCGGATGCTTCACCCCGGCAAGTGCGAAGCAGCATGGCAGGACGGGCCTCTTCTGGCAGTTCTGGGGAAGCAGTGCCACGGGATCCAGTCTCTTCCGCATGGACCTCATCCTGGGAAACAAACTCCCCCGAATTCGAGGGGACTGGTTCCTAGATAGGGGAGCAACGGATTGCATTCTAATTCATTGCTAAACTATGATCTGGGACAGAAATCTAGTGGAAGCAGGCCAGGAGGAGTGACTGGAGAACTGTATTCCATCCACAGAACCAGGATGTAAATGCCTTTTATCGACCTTTTCGTAACATTACATTTTTAAAATATATATAATATGTCTGAGCTTGAAAATAGTGGTGGGCAGAGGAATAATATGAAGATCTAGTTGCATTGCGTTTATGACAGCTGACCTCTGGCTTTTCAAAAGGAAAACAAATGTTCAAAGGTTTTCTGTGTAATGTCTACATTTTTGACCTTTTCCTAATTTGCTCCTTTTTCAGTCTTTCCTGTATTACTGACTTGGGTTTATCTTTTCTCCCTTTAGAGAGTTTTGAGGTGACAGTCACCAAAGAAGGTGATAAAGGGTTCTTTCTATCCCTTTTATGAATATTAACCCACTAACTTTTGGTTATGACATGGGGAATCAGCACTTAAACGGAAGATCCTGTCATGCTTTGGACCCCGTTTTATTCCCCCTCCCCAGTTTTTTCCTCCACCCTCTCTCTGAAAATATATTGATAGGAAAATGTTATGTAATCAACCCTTGGCTAGAAATATCTGCAAATCAGACATCCATTTGAACCGTGGAATGTTAATATTTCATCTGTGTAGCTATTTAAAACACGGTTTTTCCATATTGCTCTTTCCAATAGCATGCTTTTCCAGAGGGTGCATTAGTCATATTTTGGTAATGAGTAAAGTTGCTCCAGAGAAAGTACACCTTGAAGCTCTGAATCATATGCCAGCAATTTACAACCTAGCGTGTGGAGCGGCTTGGATATGATGAAGCTGAAGCCCCATGGCCCAGTGCGCATGGGGCGCTCCTACTGACAGAGACTCTCGTGGTTCTTTTGACCTTGCACCGTCCTTGCATCCGAGTTTCACTCCGCTTTCCTTTTCAAAGCTAATCCTCGAGCAGGGTTGCATCTCTGCAGTTGTGTCTACGCACCAGCCATTGTGGGACGGTCTAAGTGTGATTTTGAAGTAGGTTTGCCAACCCTGGTTTGAAACTCGCCCTACTGGGAAATACTGGTGGAGATCTAACCCAGTTAGTGCGAGAGAGAGAGGGAGGGAGGGAGGGAGGGAGGGAGGGAGACAAACACAGACAGACAGACATGGCAATCCATGTGCAAGGAGGGAAGGAACACATGAACCTGTTTGCCATGCCAAATTTCATAACTCTGGTTAGGACACTAGAAATGCTCTGCGCTTGTTCCAGCAATGTTGGGTTGCAATTCTGTCCAGGTAATGAAATACAGCAAATTGAACTCCTCAGCAGGGAGCAATTGTGGCCGAACACACAGGCCCAAGTTAGTAGGCAGCTGTTGAAATGGATGCCTGAGAAGTAGGTATTTCTACCTTTCTCATTCAGTAGCTCGTTTTGATTCCCTGACTCTTTTTTTTTTGTTGTTTGTTTGTTTTTTAAGCCAGGTACATTGCACAGGAAGACTTTGTCCTTTTGCTCAATTGACAGAATTTTTGTGAATTATAGTGCTGAATCTTCGATATACCTTGAAGCTTTCTTTCCAACTTTTTTTTTTCTTCCTCCGGCCCCAACTTTGTAACTTTGCATTTTTAACCTTCTGCTCTGGTCAAAACCTAACAAACCGCCCAGCTATTTCCCGGTAGCTTGGCATGGAAGACACGCCTCGTGGGCTTGGCTGTATGCTCTCCTAAGATCTCGACTCTTTTGCCCTAGAGTTTCTCAAGTACTCCTGTGAAATGCCTGTCTACATTTCTCTCTTTTTCTCTTTCTCTCTCTTTTTGTACTCCTGCATGAATGGATGCAAAATAAACCAAGTTGCTTGAAGAGCAAAATGTATGCCTTTTTTGTTTGTTTAAATTAACTAAAGCTCTCAAAATTCACCCATCCTTGAGCACAGTGCCTCTTCCTTTGACCACAGACCCTCACAAACCCTTGGCTGCAAAACCGTCAAGCTACCTTTGCTTAAAACACAACACCACACACACACACACACACATGCAGATCTGCCCCTGCTAACCCCAGAATGCTAACTGCTGTTGCTTTGGATCTCTTAGGTGAGATTTGTGGATTTAAAATTCACGGGCAAAATGTCCCCTTTGAAGCGGTGGTGGTGGATAAAGCCACTGGCGAGGGAATGGTCCGATCCAAAGAGAAGCTGGACTGTGAGCTGCAGAAGGACTATACGTTCACCATCCAGGCCTACGACTGTGGGAAGGGACCGGATGGAGCCAATATGAAAAAGTCCCACAAGTAAGCACTGCGTGGGTGGGAGAAAGGGGGAGCTTTCCTTTAAGCACGACTTTTTCCTGATGGGATGTGGTTTCTCCTTACTTGTGGGTTTTTGTTGTTCTTGAATGAATGAATGAATGAATGAATGAATGAATGAAAACCAGGTGCTGCTTACAGACATCCAAGGGTTTGGGGTTGTTGTTGTTTTGTTTTTGTTTTTGTTTTTTTTTGGTGGGGGCGTTCTCCATACCAGCATTAAGATCATCACATTGTTTCTAAAGGACAACAGTCTGCCCACAGATTGCATTATTGACGTTGTTTTGCCAGTGCAGTCCAGGCAGCTTTGCCACTGTCCAAATCATACCTTAAAGCTGAATAATACGGAAAATGGAAAGAGGGCGATTAGCAAATGGTCCCACAGCCGCTCCAGGAGGCCTCTGCAGCTGGTCCTTGCCAGGCCGGTGGAGAAGAGCTCGCTTTTCCGCTTCTCCCTCCGTGTTGGTGTTCTGGCCCTTTCTCCGGCAGGGCTTGGGCCTCAGAGTTATGTTTGTCCCCCATGTTCTGTTACGGATAGCGACCGTTTCACGCTTCCTGTTGTCTGCAGTGCGGGGGGAGTCCACACAGCTTCGGGGGGGGTCCCCACAAGACAGGTGGCTGACGCTGGCCTTGCATGGCGCCGCTGAGGCTCATTCGTTGCTGAGTCTGTCCAAGGTGTGCCTTCCGGCCCTGCTCTTCAGGGTGCGTGGACCGATCACCTCGGAGGGGGCACTGCTGCGGGAAGGGACCTCCGGCCAGAACGCTCTGTAGCTTTGGCATCCTTTGGCACAGAAAAGGGGGCGTTGATCCTGGATGACCATCCTGCCCAAAGCACGCCAGGGGCAGGGGGGATTTTCCCTTCGAGCATGTGAGACTTTTCCCCGCCTGGCACATGCCAGAGACCCTTCGGCCATCCGCATCCTCTTCCATGTAATAGAAAGCTAACCTCAGCATTGTCTAATGATGGAAAGCAAAACTGGTGGGTTCAAGAAATCTGAAGTGTGTCACGGATCCTTTACTGTCCCTTTATTTATTTAATATTATTCATGGATCTCTCCTATTTAAGTAATGTCTAAGTGACATGGAGGGGACAGGATTACCTTTCTAGGAATGTCTGTTCGAAACAGTATGTTTACACTGAGTGCCGAAAACACTGGCACGGCTGCACTTGTTTAATCTGTAGTGGCGAAGAGTTCCAGAAAGGATGATACTTATTTTTATTGTATTTATTTATTTACAAATTTTCTATACTGTATATTTCCACAGAAAATCTCTAGATGGTTTACAACAGTAAAAGCATCAGGAAAAAATTAGCAGTACTTGATTAAAATAGGATTAAATCATACGTATATTAAAATTAACATTTAAAATACTGGTTAAATAAAAAGGTCTTAGTCTGTTTCCAGAAAGTATAAAGAGTCAGTGCTGGATGACCCTCTCTGGGGAGCATATTCCACAGCTGAGGAGGTGCCACCACTGAGGAGACCCTTCTGGCAACAGCCCCCCCCCCCCCCCGCCCCGCCTCCTTCCAGGAGGGCTCCTGGGGAAGAATCTCTGGAGAAGATCTTAAGCACCAGGCAGGTGTCTACCGAAGGAGGCGTTCTTTTAGTTAACCTGACCCTAAACGTGGCATTAGGATGGCTAAAGACCCTATTCCAAACCATGATGGTTGAGAATTCTGAAATCTTGGGCCACCACCAGGAGATGATCGGGCCAGTAGGAGACCAGCTGATCTCATAGGTGCTTTGGCTGTGAGTTCCTTGGGGCTTTGGGAACCAGCACCAAATCCAGTCTGTCAGCATTCGGGCAGCTAAAGAAAAGGGACTCTTACTGCAAAGAAAACTGGTGTGTGGGAGTTAATTGATGCTTCAGTAAAACAAAGGCTTCTGCTCTTCTGATACATGAACCTTCAGTGATGGGTCTTAATTCTGCTGACTAATAAAGGACATGCATTTAGAAGGCTATTAGAAAAAGCATAAGTTGGAAGGATGGGCAGTCTCGGATTTCTTTATCAGTCTTCCTGCTAAATATCAGGCACTCTGCGTGACTTAATGGTGATGCATCGTCATGATGATGACGAATTGACATTTCCTCCCCGTCCCTTTTGCTAACCCTGTTAAAATCTCTTTCTTCAAGAAATGAGACAACCTTGGCCCTCGGCTCAATAAATCTCGGATTGTAATAAAATCTGTCTAATCTTGCTGACTAAGCCCAGGGCCTTACCTTCCTTTAGCTCCCACAATTCATTGTTGAATGAGGCGCCATTTATATTCAGAAGACTGACTATCTGACATTCGTAGCGTCCACAAAACAGCTTTCGGCATTGCACAGAGAACAAGAGCAGTAAGTTTGAGTGTCATGCTTACTGCGCCTTCCACATCTTTCTCCAGTGTGAATTCGAACTTGCTGGCTGGGAGGCACTTCCTCCCGCTCTGCACATTCTTATCTGGAGCGTCCAGGCTGGGTCAAGCTTTGTGGTTCAGCCTCTCCAACTTGGTGCCCTCCAGTCTGTTGGACCGCAACTCCCATAATTCCAGAGGGTACCGGGGTGGGAAGGGCTGGCCTCCTTTATTTTCCTAGCCATTCCAGCAAACTGGAAATGGCCCAACGTAGGAGGTGTGCCTGGGTGCCTTATCTTCCTGTCTCTAAAATGGGGACAATGTCAGCCTCACAGGAGTGTTGGGGGGAATTTTCTTGGAGGAGGAGGAGAAGCCAGCAAGCCCATGATACTCTCTAATCAGGAACTGGCTGGCCACTGTTAAAACTACTGCAGCGTGTGCCCTGCCCTGGCAATTTAACAGGCTCTTCTCTGTTTCCAGAGCGACGGTGCATATCCAGGTGAACGACGTCAACGAGTACGCCCCGGTGTTCAAGGAGAAGTCCTACAAAGCCACCGTGATTGAAGGGAAGAGGTACGACAACATCCTGAAAGTGGAAGCGGTGGACGCCGACTGTTCTCCCCAGTTCAGCCAGATCTGCAGCTACGAAATCGTGACTCCCGATGTCCCCTTTGCTATTGACAAAGACGGTAAGGACCACGGAGGAGTCACTCCTGGCTCTGCATTTGGGACGGTGTCCGATGAGCAAATTCCCACAAATTCATTGAAAGCTCGCAATGTAATCAGCAATTTCAAAAAAAAAGATCTTCTATGTCCTAAGTTTTACAGTGAGTCCTTGATCCAGTATATGGCTTGATCGCTGATATTTATAAAACATTAGTGCAGCCATGAATTCATCAATGAACAATAGTTTCTCATTAATAAAAACGAGAAAAAGAATAGCGAATAAAACCCCAAATTCCTCTTCCTTTTATAGAAGAGGAAATGGATCACCTCTGTGCCAAAATTCCCTATTCCTTCCCAAAGCTATTTACTGAATTCTCCCTATATTCACTGTGGCTATACCGTGTAATCCTTATTTTATCAGTGCAAGATTCTACCCCACCCCCCCAGCACATACCGCAAACCCCCCCAACTCAAATGCAGCATTTTAAAAACTGGTTTTCCCTGCTCCTGCCACCAGGTTACATAAAGAACACCGAGAAACTGAACTACGGGAAGGAGCACCAGTATAAGCTCACCGTGACTGCCTACGATTGCGGGAAGAAGAGGGCTGCTGAGGATGTGCTCGTGAAAATCAGCATCAAGCCAACGTGCAAGCCGGGCTGGCAAGGTGAGCGTCCTGCCCCCCATCACCTGCCCCCCATCAGGCTGCAGCAAAGCGCTCCCACGCATGCGGGGGAATCCCAGGCCCAAGGGCCAGCATTCCCCAGAAGGCCCCTTCCCCGCACTCCTCTCTTTCTCCCGTGATTTCATAGCGCTTGTTCGGGAAATGCTTCCCCCAGGGCTGAGTGGCGGGTCATCGGAGGCGGGTCTCTTTTCCGCTTTTGGCTCTCCCCTTCTTCCTTGGGCCCTGCTCGTCACATCTGGGAGCTACTTTGAAATGGGTCTCAGCCCTCTGGCTGGACGTCCTGTGCCTCCGGTTTTGTTCAGGCCCCAGGGATCACTCCCCGAATTGAACTTTGGGATCGTTCTTACGGTTTCAGGCTGGAGCAAAAGAATGGAATATGAACCTGGGACTGGCGCGCTCGCCCTCTTCCCCAATATCCACCTGGAGACCTGCGACGAGCCCATCACGTCCGTGCAGGCGACTGTGGAGCTGGAGACAAACCACATCGGGAAGGGATGTGACCGGGACACTTACTCTGAGAAATCTCTCCACAGGCTCTGTGGTAAGGCCTTGCCCAGCCGGTGGGTGGAAACTTGCAGCTCCTGCCCCGGTGCTTTTCCACCTTTCCAAAACGTGGCTCACCTCTTCCTACCAGGCAAAGGTGTTGGAAGGAACGAGAAGAGGGAGACATGCAAAGTTGTTTCTCACTGTGCGGCTGTATGGAATTGATTTTATCTAGAGGCTGCATGGAGCAAATCGCAAACAGAGAGAGCAAAACTCGTTCTCGTTGCTCTTGCTGAATGGCCCACATTTTCCCCAGAAGGGCGCCCTCACACACAGCTGAGCCTTCATGTCTTTTCTCCTCTGCTGGCGATTTGCTGGTGCATCGTTCCGAATGATCTCATTGCAGGTGCTTCCTCCAGCACCGTGGAGCTGCTTCCTCCTCCGAGCACTGCGGCCAACTGGACAATAGGGCTTCCCACGGACAACGGCCACGACAGCGACCTGGTCTTCGAGTTCAACGGCACCCAGGCAGTGAAGGTTCCAGACAGCGTGGTCACCATCAACATGAAAGAGCCGTTTGTCATCTCTGTGTGGATGAGACACGGGCCCGGGACCAAGGAGAAGGAGACCGTTCTCTGCAACTCGGACAAAACAGGTTTGGGGGCGTGGGGGAACCCCGGCTCTCTGATTTGGAGTGCAACACAGGCCCACTCTCTTGGTTTAACTACTGAGAGGTTATGAAATGTTCACAAACTGTGGGATTTGTGGGTGAGGGGCCACAAACTCAGGCTTGGTCGGCATTCGAAGAAACATCACTGCCCTCGTTGCTGATTTTCCTTGGAAACACGGCAGTGTGGTCTCTTCCAGTGTTGTGCTTTCTGGGCAAAGATCTCATACTTCATACGAGTGCTTCTGCTTCTGAATTCTTTATAGCAGGTGCTGCAATCGATTCCTTGGTATACTTTGTGTACTTGTGAACCAAGTACACAAAAGGCTGGATTGACTTTTTTTTCCGGGAAAACGTATTTCTCCTTTCCCCCTCCCCCGTGCATGAATAGCTCCCTCTGTGACGAGCACCAGTCAGTGAGTACCACAAGCAGGAATTTGGAAGATGGCATTGATACAGAGGAAACACGATAACTCGGGTGGTGTGATTTGTACCTCAGTGGGGCAAAATAATCGCATGACTTGTACACTGGAGACCGAAGCAGCTGGTTTGAGCTGGGAAAACTGCCCAACTCCCAAAGCACAACAGAAAGGATCTTTTCTAGAGTCCCAACTTAATTTTATAAGGAAGCAGTCAAACAGCACCAGTAAGAAGCTGGATTCTGTGCCCTGGCAGCAGAGATGGCCCGATTCAAACAAAATCATGGGTTTCCTCGATTGGTAAACGGTAAATGTTTCCCTCCATTAAAAAGAAAGAGTGGCCAGGATCCTGAAAAATAACTGGGCTGGAAAAGGACGCTGTTAAAATGAAAGCTGAACTGAGCATTGGAGAGCAGAGTCACAGGGTGGATTTGTCCATCCTGGCAGTAGCAACTTTGGAATGAATTCACGGGAGGGGTCAGTTCCCATGGTGCACGTTGGCTTCGGGGCGGGCGCTAAGCAGGCCCCTGATGTGCCTGCGTCCCTCCAGCTGATGCTTGTTGCAGCGAGCCGGGGACTCGGGCAAGCTTTTGAACCGCTGCTGGCTGCGGAGTGCATCCCGTTTCAGGCCTTTCCCCAGATGCTAGTTTGATGATCCGAAGTCTGTGTATGCCGGTTCCACTTAGAACGGGGGGCTGTTTGTGTGAACAGGTTCGGCCTGCAAGCTGCCGGGGGAGCAGCGAGCTAGAAAACCCCCCTTGATTTACTCCACCCCTTTGCCTCGGCACCGGCCTCTTCCCTGTTATGGTGCCCGTGTGTGAAGTTTGGGTGAGCAACTATGCAGCAAGGGGACATTTTTCTTGAGGCTGTGCAGGACCGGGCTTGGGCTGTCGGAGAACAAGTCCTGCAGAACCATCCTAACAAGAGGTGTCTCTTTCTTCGAAAGCCGACTCCATTTGCCTCTTCCTCCTGCATTTTAATTTTGCGAAGCGCCTCCCTTTGCCCGTAACGCAGCCCTTCCCTAACCTGATCCCTCCAGATACTTTGGCCGGTAGCTCCCGTCTGCCCTAGGCCAGGGGTGACGGGAATTCTGCTCCAAACATTTGGACACAGCCAGGCTGGGGAAGGCAGCTGCGGCCAGGTGGGTCCGGAAGAGTCTCGCGGGGCTGAGGCAGTGGCTAGCGACCGAGCGGCTTGTGTTGGCAACGGGGCGGTAACGCGCCTGATCGTTCTCCCGCAGACATGAACCGCCACCACTACTCCCTGTACGTGCACAACTGTCGGCTCGTGTTCCTCTTCCGCCAAGATCCCTCCGAGGGGCAGAGCTACAAGCCAGCGGAGTTCCACTGGAAGCTGAACCAGGTGGGCTGGGACGGGGGCTCGTTCCGACACTCCGTAGCGGCATCCCAGGGCTCTGTCGCTGTGTGTGCTGGCCTGCTAAGTCACACCTGTTTTCAGGGATTCGGGGGGACTTCCAGGAGTGTTTACTGTGGAGAAGGAACAGTGGTGGGGGCACGATCACAGGGGTCAAGTATCCAAAAGACAGAAGATGGAGTAGGCCTTCTCGAGGTGGCTTCCCCAGGCCGGGCTGAAACCCATGGAGTGACATTTCCGGGGAGCCCGAACCCATCTAAACATCGGGGGAATGACCCAATGACAGGAGCAGCGGGATGGATTTCCTCTGGTGGTCGTGAGTGCTCTGGCTGTCGGTCAGAGATGCTGGAGCCGCATCCTGCAGTCAGACTCTGCACTGTGCGGGAAGTTTGGCCAGGCGGCCAGCCTTTCCACAGGCCCCTCCAGCTCCGTGTTTCTGGGGCCACACACGCTTTCAAGCCTGTTTCTCTCTGCAGTTGCTGCAAGCTGTCCATGTGGGCTGGTTTTGAGGTTTTTTTGGCTGTGCCGTAGAAAATCGATCACAATTTAGGAGTTTTAACCTGCTTTTCAGGGTGTACTGTCCTTCTGAGGCAGTTTACGAGGTTACCAAAGGCACAACGGGATATAAAAATCACACACAGATGTGTTTAAAGCACCCATTTGGAAACTGGAGTAAAACTCTCTTTGGGGCTTTGAAAACGTCGGCAGGGCCATATGTATTTCCTTGGGGGGGGGGGGTGCCACACATATGACTATTGCCCCTTCCTCATTTAAGAAGCAGACATCCTATTGTGACTGGAAATGTGCCAGGAGCTATTCTTTTCTCAAATTAGAAAGTTCATCCCCCTGCCCGCGTCCCCACCCCAGCTTCTGCCAGCTGGCCGTGTTCAGGCAGAATAGTGCTGAGCAAACATACCCTTCCTCAGCCCAATTTCCACACTTGGGAAAACGTTGCATCCTGTCAGCGAAAAGTTTGTGCAGCTGCATATGTAGAAAGCCACAGTTTCTCTTCTCTGATTTCTAATTAAAAGGGTCTTGGGTAGGTGGGTTGGGAAGCACCCCTTCTCCATGCCCAAGTATCAGCAAAGGCAGAGCTGGCCTGGATGGGCTAGTCACCCAGTTCCCTGGGAGACGATTAAGGCAGGTGGGGGCTGCCTCACGCTGTGTTTGCACCAAGTTGATCGAGACTGGCTCTCGCCTTCACGCATCTGGGGCTCCAGGTCCCATCATGCAGGCCTGGCCAGGGCCCAAGGATGATGAGTGAAGTGGTCTGGACAAATAGGAGGGTCCCAGATTGGGGAAGCCTGCTCTAGGCTGGGGGGGCGGGTCTGTTGGGGATCTTCCACAGCCAGAGCTGGAGATGCCAGGGCTTCTGGCACGCACACCTGGACACCCTCCCAGCGGTGCAGATACCTTCCAGCGATACAACGGTGCTCATCCTCTGCGGCTCCCTGCATAGCTTGACCCTTTTCCTTCACTCCCAGAAAGAACTGGTCTTGCAGAAAACGTGCTCAGGGCAAAGCGTAGTCCCCGTCCGCTTCAGCACTCTGTCCCCTTCCAGGTGTGTGACAAGGAATGGCATCATTATGTCCTCAACGTGGAATTCCCCGCGGTGACGCTCTACGTGGACGGCGTTTCCTTCGATCCGTTCCCTGTGACCGAGGACTATCCTCTTCATCCGTCCAAAATAGAATCCCAGCTGGTGGTTGGCGCCTGTTGGCAAGGTAAATGCCCACCCAGGGCCTGTGGCAGCATGCAGGGGTGGAAGAACCTCCCTGAAAGTGTCAGGTGCATCCCGCCTGCCCACAGGTTTTCATTCTGGTCCAGCTTGTGGACAAGATTCCCTTGGGCTTGCATGTGTGTCTCACATTTTCTCTTCAAGAGAGCCAGAGGGAGACTGAAAAGGCAAAAGCTGAATTGTGCAGCCTTCTATTAGCATGCTTAGGAAGGCCAGCTAACTGGCCTTCTCCCCTTCTCTTGGCCAGATGGCCTTCAGAAATAAACATTTGTTGCCGTTTGGAGAGCACTGATGGAGAAAAACCTTAAATCGCCTCCTAGGATGGGGAACATGCGCTCTCGGAACTGGGTTAGAAGCCAGAATGCAGAAGCAAACAAAAGCTCCTGTGGTGTTTTTGTGTCTGCCTCTCTGATCACATTTTGCGTGTGTTTGTTTTAAAGGAATTTGCCAGAGTAATTCATCCAGCGTTTTGTGTGTTCTGGAGGATTTTGCTGCTTATGGCTATAAAAAGAAATGCAGCAGCCCTGGTGGAGTTTTAACATGCAAAGCAGGTTTAAAAAGCCAACCCTTTGAGGCTGCAGAATGCTGAGTCACAGCCTCCCGGGCTGCTGAAGCTCTGTCTTGTCAGCATCCTGAGGAAAATGGGCCTTGGGATACATTTGAGAGCAGCACAATGGAACACAGGTGCCTCCAGAATGGAGTTCAGCCTGTGGGTTCGGCTCCCCACTTGAACGGATCCCTCGTTCTGTGAGGAGCAGGTTAAGTGGTTCAGCGGCTAGTCGGTTGCTATGCAGATCAGCTCCGAGTCGACGGCCAAACAAGCCAGCGGCAAACCCCAGATCGTTTAGTAGTGTGTTCAACAAACTAGAGCTTATTCCAAGCTGCAACTCCTGGTTCTCACAGAGCAAGAGTCCTGGAATCTGCTCAGTGGAAGACTGACCCTGGTTTGTTCGACTTCCCCCAGCTATGCAAGGGGGAACAGAGATGGGGGGAGATGATGAGAGCGCTTGGCAGAGCCTCCTCTCCGGCTAATTATTCCGGTGCAGGCACACGCTTGGAGTGGAGAGCGTCCTGCAAACGGCGTGGGTGAAACTGGACCCGCCACGGTTCTTTCCTCTCTGCCGCAGTCCTCAGGCTGCCTTCCCGGCCTTTTCCTCGGGACCCCCCCAGCGAGATGGCCGCCACCTCTCCTTCCGTGCTCTCAACCGTTCCGTGTGCAGCTGTGGGGAAGGCGTCAGGGGCGGCCTGGATGGCGCTCCAGCTCACCCAGCCGGGCGCCGCAGGCTGGGCCTGACTGGAAGCCCGGCAAAGCAGGGGCAGGTGGCACCAGGGGCGAGAAAGGCACTCTGGTGCCCCCCGCCCCCCGGGTTAAGCTGCATTCCAGCAGGAAACCTCTCTCTGCAGACAGAGGTGTTTAACCACCAGGCCCCCCCCCCCCCCAGTTGTTGCTTTATTTCTTTGGATGATCCATTTCCTTTTCTTTTGTTTAAATTGGGAGGCTGCACAGTCAAGGCACCGTCTTGATTTGTGTCCCAAGGACGCAAAATCCCAAATGTACCCACCAACCCAAAACGACCAGGCACAACCACATATGCTTCTCCCTACTGCTCTTGCTTCTTGAAGGGAGTTTTTCCACTGAAGGGAGCCTCTAAATAAAGCCTCAAGAACTCAACCCCAATAGAAAGTGTCCCATCTCATTCCGCTCTTTGGGGGATCTGTCCGCATCATTCCTGTCTGAATCCAGCCGTGTGTGTCCCAGAAAGGTACCTGCAGGGAGCGTCTTCCTCACGCGAGCGAGTCCGTAGCAGGGCTTCTGGGCTACCTTGGCTGGCGAATCAGTAAGGAAAAGGGAATTGTCAGCGTCCAGTACAGAAGAATTTCACGCTCTGTTCTGAAATCCTGCCAGCTCCCATTTAGAGCAGGGCAGCCGCGATTTTCTGTCGTGCGTCCGGTAAGCAGAGCATGTTCACAAAAGCGGCAAATAAAACATGCCAGGACCTAACCACCTGGTTCCTTCCTTTCTTCTTGTCCCTCTTTTCTTGTCTTCTTTTTCTTTCTCTTCTTGCTCTTCTGCAGAATATACAGGAAATGAGAATGACACAGAAAAAGCGACCGAGACTCCTGCAGGTTGCCGGTGGTTTTTTCCCCCCTCCTTTTTCTTTTTTTACTTTCCCCCCCCCCCCCCCGTTTCTTTTTAATTCTTCCACTTCTAAGCCAAGACATTGCTTCATCTCACACATAGCATGAGACGTGTTATGGCCATTGAAACTGCATAATTGCATTGTGGGACTTGCGTTATTCCATTGAGTTTCTCCCCCCTGCGCACTTGGGTTTCTTTGAATGTCCCCCTCTTTTCTTCTCCCCCATCCCTTTGGTGAAAACATTCGGACGTACATTCCTGGTTCCTCAGGAAGCACTTGCAGCCACTTTGAAATAAAGAAGGGCTGGGCCTTTAGCGATTTCCTTGGTTCGAGCATCCCTGTGGGGGGTGTGATGCTCTTCTTCCCAAAGCCACACAGCCAATCAGAAGTGCCCCTGCACTGTCCGACTTCCAGGCAAGAAGGCAGTGGCCTCGGAGCATTGGGAACAGCGGGTTGCTTCAGCCTTTCCCCAACCGGGCGTCCTCCAGGTGGACGACAACTCCCAGCATCCTCCAGCCAGCATGACAGGTCCTGACTTCAAGCAACTAATGCTTTGAATTCTGTTAAATTTGGAGGATTTAGCATCCCCAGATGCCGCCATCAGGCAGAGGCTAGGCCAGGAGATTTGGGACAGCACGGCCCTAGCTGCGACTTTTCCCCACGCTGCGTGTGCTTCACCTTTGTGGGAGGCAGGTCCCCTGAGCCCGGCCAGCTGCGCGGCAGAGTCGCCTCCGAGCCACCCCAGCAGCTGCGGCTTGTCTGGGGCCCAGGGGGTTTGGAAGCTCGCTGGATGCAGAGGAGGGTGCAACCCACACACCGTGGGGCGGCTGGTGCAGGCCGCCTGTGGGGAGGAGAAGCCGCCCAGGGCTGCTCTTTCCGGTGATCCGGCCTTCCCCGCCAGGGAGGGTGGTCGAACGTTAAGTGGCACCTTGGGTGAAGTGCGGCTCTCCTGATGATGTGCAGCTTGAAGAAGGACTTGAAGGACCAGCTCAGAGCTTGCGAGTCCTTGAAGGCTCGGCTTAAATCGGCACCTGTGTGCATATGGCACCAGCGATTCTGGAAGGGATAAACGCATGTTTTTATTTTTGGCCAAAGTGTGCCGCGAGACGCCAAATAGGGCGAGGAGTGTTTCACAGATGCAGCCCCTGCAACCTCGTGGCCGCCAGATGGGTGGCCCGAGCAGTCCTGCTGGCTGGGGATGATGGGGGGTATAGCCCAACATATTTGGAGGGAACCTGGTTGTGGGTGGGTGGTTTGGGTCTTCATCACTTGTTGTCTTCTCCTGTAGGGATTGAATTCCAGGTGCAAAAGAAATCCCAATAGGGTCAAGGCAGAAAAGTATTTATTTGAGGTATTTTCCATTCCTCAACCAGAAGGAGAAGGCTGCCAGAAAGGCCTCACATGGAACCCTGTGCCTGCTTGTCGGCCTTTTTTCTGTCCCAAGCAGGTGTAAGATTGCACTTTTACACCATGAATGAAGGGTGTTCCCTCCCTGCAGACTTAAAATTGAAAAGTCACAGCATATGAGGAAAGGGCGGTGGGGAGGGAAGAGGAGGTAATAAAGCTGTCTTTCAAAGCAGGGCTGGTGGAATGGCCCAATAGCCCCCTCTCCCTCAGCTGGAATGGCTGCTGGTGGTGGCGGGGAGTGAGGAGGTGGACAAGGCGCCTTTCTGAGGGGAGAGCTGGAGCCGGAAAATGCAGCTCAAGTTTTTAGGGACCATTCCATTCCCACCCCCCAACCCCCAACAGCTGTATTGCATGAGTGAGCGTACTTCAGTTCTTCTCGTTTCGTTTTTCGCCCTCCACCTCCCGTGCCTGATCATAACTGCAAGGTTAACTCAAGCAGCAACACTAACTTGCATGCTCATTTAAGAACCAAAATAAGCACGTCTCCTCTTGTGGAGACAAACACACAAGAACCCCGGGCTGCATCCCCCCGGCGTGCTCCCCCACTGCTCATGGCATCTCTCTTGCCTTACTCTCCCGTCAAGGTGGTGAGCTCCGCCTGACCCAGTTCTTCCGAGGCAACCTGGCCGGCTTAATGATCCGCTCGGGCAAGCTGGACAACAAGAAAGTGATCGACTGCCTTTACACCTGCAAAGAAGGGCTGGAATTGCAGACAGCCGACGGCGGCGTCAGCAAAGGCCTCAAGGTAGGATTGGTCCTGGGACGGGCTCCGGCTCTGTGTGTGCGAGGAAGCAGGACTGGATCGGCGCTGTGCCTCTCGTCTGCCAGCAGGGGGCAGCGTTGCTCCTTCCATCCAAGATGCCCTTGCTGGGGCACAGTCCTGCGCTTGTTTCGACAGGAAAAAGGCCTTCGGCTCCCAGCATGCCCCAGCTAGTCAGCTGGGCATCCTGGGAGCTGTCGGTGTTTTTCGTGTCGAAGCTTGTGCAAGATCATGCCTTTACTTGCTGTAACTTTGGGCAACTGCACAGTTTCCATAACGGAGAGGCGCTGAATAGCCGCCTTCCTCCATTTTTCTCCTGACAGCCACATAAACACGAATACCTATATCGAAGCAAGAACTGGGCGAGGATGTGTATTGTTCTCTTTTAAAACAAGAAAGAATTGGATTTAGAGTAGAGGTCCTCCAATTACAACTTCTCACTAATGGACCCTTTATTTCACCATGAATAAATGGCAGAAAAGCTGCAGCATGTAGATGGTCCCAAGAGCAGCCCCAGCACCTGCTCCCCTTGGCATGCTTTCAGGTCCACATGAGCCCCAGCCAGTCAGTCCTGACCCTGGAAGGAGACGACATCGACCGCTTCGACAAGGCCATGCAGCATGTTGCCTACCTGAACTCGCGCCAGTTCCCCACGCCCGGCATCCGGAGGATCAAGGTCACGAGCACAGTGAAGTGAGTCCCGGCGGCTGGGGGCCACGGTTGCCGGAATGGCGCCCTTCCTAGCCTGGATGGCGGGTGCATTTCTGAGCCCGGTCGAAGTGGCCGCTGCCCCCCATGTGCAGCCTCCCGTGCTTTGCGCCCAAGTCGCTGGAAGGCCGGTCTTCCCCCCCATAGTCTGCCCCGACGCTCAGCTCAGAGGGCCGTCTCCTCGGCTCATTCCCCAAGGCACGTGGTGGCCCCACACCTCTGGCATCGGCTTCCATTACACCCCTTCTTTGCAGATTCTTAGGGAGGTTCTGGAGACCCCCCCCCCCCCCGTTTTTGCTGGCTGTAGTAAAAATGCCAGTAGGTCGCCGTTTAAAGGTCTTTGAGCGTGAGGAGAGGCACTTGGACCTTGCGAATGGCCAAAAATTGGGCAAAAGCTACAGAACCGCTGTCAGAGGTGGTGGCCAGGAGGGGGGGCATGGCCATCCGGGGGTCTGAGCACAGGCAAGGGATGCCTCATGCCCCAGATAATCCTTGCATGCGGAGCGTTGGCCTGCCTGCTCCGGCGTCCCCATCGCCGGTGGCAGCAGAGACGGGCAGCCTTCTCTCCTTTTCGGGGGCAGGTGCTCCAGCGAGGAAGCCTGCATCGCCGTGCCCTCCGTCGAGGGCTATGTCATGGTCCTGCAGCCTGAAGAGCCCAAGATCAGCCTGAGTGGCATCAACCACTTTGCCCGCTCGGCGTCGGAGTTCGAGAGCCCCGGAGGGGTCTCCCTCTTCCCCGAACTTCGCATCATCAGTACCATCACGCGGGAGGTGGAGCCGGAGGGGGATGAAGATGAGGATCCCACAGGTAAAGCCTGTCAGCCCGGCGCAGGTGGAGGGGTGGCAGGGAGCAGGACGGCCCCGCCAGAAGAGAGACGCCAACGAGTGGCTGCAGAAATGCCCAGCAAAGAGAGATTTGCAGTCTGTGCGAGTGTTTAAGCTTAGAAAGGGGGCGAGTCAAGGCAAACTGGGAAAGGGAATGTAAACTGATGCGTGGGGAGTGGGCAAGAAGGCATTTTGATCTTTCTTCCACAACATCAGAGCCCGAAAGGGTCTTCCCAGAAAGCCGATGAGTAGGGGATGCAGGACAGATAAAAGGGATTCCTCCAGACAGCACAGACACCGTGGGATTCACTTCCACATGACATGGTGCCGTTTGCCCACTTGGATGGCTTGAAAAGGAGATTGGACAAGTTCATGGCTGGCAGTCCTGTGCTACCTCCAGCATCAGTAGGGCTCTGTACCCCAGTGCTCGGGGAGCATGGGAATTGGGGGCGGTCGCTCTCTTGTTCCATGTGCAGGGTTCCCAGGGCTAGACGGCGCCTTGGTTTGATCCAGCAGAGTCCTTAAGCCTGGAGGGCTTGGCCCACACCCAGAATTTGGGATCAGATGGCCAGGTTTAAGATGGCATGAGAAACCCTCAAATGGACATGCACTTAAAGGTTCTAGTCCTCAGGAAAACTTGATGAGTCGGGACAGCTTTAAAAGCCCAGAGTCCCCTTCCTTTGCACATTCTCATTTCTTGCCCTTCTCTCTGCCCACAGTCCAGGAATCGCTTGTCTCTGAGGAGATCATGCACAATCTGGATACCTGCGAGGTCACTGTGCTTGGGGATGAGCTCAGCCCGGAGCAGGAGAGCTTGGAGGTGGATGTGGCTCGGCTGCAGCAGAAGGGGATGGAGATGAGCAATTCCAACCTCGGCATGATCATTACTGGTATGCATTTCCTGCCTCTGCTTCCAGTGCGCTGGGAACCCCAGGATCGTGTTACTAAAGTGGAAGAGCCGGGCAGTTTTCAAGAGGTTGCTGACGTCTCCAGCAGCTTTAACTTGAGGGTCAGGGCATCGGCGTTTGGCTCTCTTAATATTCCACCAGAAACCAGCATCCAGTTTGCCCTGCTGAAAAGAGGCATCTGTACAAGTTGAAGTTTTGCTTCTCGTTTCCTGAGCTTCATTGGTCCCTCTGTCCTGTTCTTGGACCACGCCATCCAGGCGTGCCAAATTCTGCACACGGCTAGATGAGCAACTGAGGGCAAACTTCATGCGCTCACTCTGTCTTCTTAACTTGCATTCTCAAAAGATTGGTGTTCAGAGCTTATCAACTGCTCTGTATTCTTTAAAAAGAAGATTCCCAGGAAGCGAACAGTAAAAGGAAAGAAAGTACAAAGCAAAAATGTATCTAAAATCCAATGATACCCTAAAAATGTGGGTGGTCATCCAGGAAAAGCTTGTTTAGGTAAAAATGGATTTCGCAGACGCCAAAATGGCACTTGCCTGACGTCAGCGGTCAGGAGTTCCACAGAAGGAAGCCCATACTCTGAGAACTGTGTGGGCACCAGGTGCGTCCCAGGCCCCTTGCCAAAGCCTTGCCTAACAACCCGATTGGAAAAGGGAGGAAGCAGCGAGGGAGATGTTTCCTCCTAAAGCAGATTCAATCCTGTTTCGAATCGTATTCTGATCCTAACACGGCTTCAGTGCATCCCTGATACGAACATACCTCACTTTAGGTAGGGAAAAAACCCTGAATTGGATCTTGCAGGGGTTGGTTTCCTGTGCTTAAGCTACTCTTGAGGCAGCAGCAGGGCTAAGAGGCAAGGCCCCGTCCCCTTGACCGGCCCCCGTGTCCCTCCCCTGCAGGGGTCGACACGATGGCCAGTTACGAGGAGGTCTTGCACCTGATCCGCTACCGCAACTGGTACGCTGTCTCGCTCTTCGACCGGAAGTTCAAGCTGGTCTGCTCGGAGCTCAACGGCCGTTACGTCAGCAACGAATTTAAAGTGGAGGTACATCAGCTGCTTCCAGGAGCTGCATTCAAGGGCTTCTCGGATGCTCCAGGGCAACAGGCGCTTGGGCTGAATCAGCTCGTATTGGCTGCAGGTTAAGCAGCTGTTGCCTCCCAGCGAGAAGCAAGTTCCAATCCCCTCAAGGGGTGCAAAACGCTTTGGGTGCTGCTGCACCATCCCGAGCCTGACCATAGAAGCTGAGCAGGTCAGGCCTGGTTGGTCCCTGGATGGGAGACCGCTGGGGAATACCGGGCTCTCTAGGCTTTACCTGCCTGCGTGGCCCTCATGTCAAATCAACTTTGCGGCGGCCACAGGGCAAGTTGGACTCGGTGGCCTCAGGCCCTTCCAGCTCCACTGGGCCTCTGTTCTTAAGCGCTTCCCAGCCACCTGGCGCAGGGTCCAGCCGCTGGTCTGTCTTGCCCAGCAGCACCAGCCCCAACCTGGAGCCCTCCAGCTTTTGGACTACAATTCCCAGCACTCCTGGCCACAGACCAGGCTGGCTGAGTCCAGTGGGGGTTGATGTCCTCCACGTCATTTTCCCCCAGGGTGGGTGGGACCGATTTAGGCCGCACGCAGCGGGTCTGACCCATCAGGGATGGGGGCTGCCAGCTCCCAGGCCTGGGGGCGCCATCCGTGGGGTCTCAGCTTGCCTCTTCCCCCACCGCCCCCTGTGCCCAGGTGAACGTGATCCACACCGCCAACCCCGTGGATCACGCCAGCCACCTCGCCGCCCAGCAGCCCCAGTTCCTCCAGCCGGTCCACCACTCCTTTGTCGACCTCTCCGGCCACAACCTCGCCAGCCCGCACCCCGGGTTCTCAGGTAAGCTGCCCCCCCCGACCATTCTGGGACTTCTTCCCTGCTTCTCCTCATTCCCCTTCTGCCGAACCACTGGAGGTGGTGGGGGGGGGTTCCTTTTTGCTGCCTCAGTTTGCCATCTTTCCAGCACCTTTCCCTGGGGCATTAACCCAGTGGCGTCTGAGCTGCACTTAATCTCTCGGAGGATGTGGAATTCGAGCTTCGTGTGGGATTCGAGCATCAGGCTTGATGCCTGCCCGCTAGATTCCTGAAACACGGCTCTTTTCAGAGAAAAGTGTCCCGTTTTTCATCAGACTTGAGGAAGGATTTTTCCCCCTCAGCTTTAAAATTACTCTCAGACCCAAGGGGCATGAATGTGGCTGCTTTCTCGGTGTCCAAGAAATCCACAGCAGACTCCGATGGGTTCAGATTTCTAAGAATCCAGCCAGGGTGTTCCACAGCAGACTGGCTCTTTCCAGGTCATACGGATTCTGTGCAGTTTTGGACCTCTTTTTGGTTTGTCTTCTGTAATTGTACACAAATACTGTCCTAGAAATGTGCTCCCCTCCGCAGCTTGCTAGGATAGTGTTGACACGGGTACAGGAGCTGCTTTTCTTGGGAGCCCTCGAGGCACCCCTTACAGCAGCTGAGCCGGGGCAACCTCCTCACCTGCTTTGCCCCACTCGGCATCTCCTGCCCCCCTGCCCCCTTTGTGGCCCAGCCAGAGCGAGGCCCAGGGAGCAAGGCGGCTGCAGCGGGGCCGGGCTGGGGCCTGGTCCATGGAGCCCCGCCTGGCCGTGGGCCCTCAGCAGGTGCCCCGCTGCGCCCCCTCTGGGCCCCGGCCGTGCTCAGAGCTCGCCTCCCTTGGTGCCGGCACGGCTGATGGTGCTCTCCCCGCAGTGGTCCCCAGCACCGCCACCGTCGTCATCGTGGTCTGCGTGAGCTTCCTTGTGTTCATGATCATCCTGGGAGTCTTCCGGATCCGAGCCGCCCACCAGCGCACCATGCGGGACCAGGATTCCGGGAAGGAGAACGAGATGGACTGGGATGACTCCGCCTTGACCATTACTGTCAACCCCATGGAGGTAAGAGCGGCCTCTTGTTCTGTGGGCGGGGAGGGGCTCCAGCTCTCCTCCTCGGGTTGGCGGCCTTCGGTTTGCCTCACACTGGTGGCTTTCCGCACCTTCTCTCCTCGGCACGGGCCTCTCTCTGCCCCGGTGCCTTTGCGCTCCTGAGCTTCTTAAAGCCCTGAAATGTAAGCACACCCCCCTTCTGGACGCCCCCGGTTCATGGTCAGGCAGCCGAATGAAATGCCCGTTTGCTTGCCAGCGGCCTGTTCTGGCGAGTTGGTCATTTAGCGAATCGCATAAAAAGAGTGCTGGCAGCTTGCCTCTGCTTCTGGGGAGGAGGTGAAGCCAGGCAGGCATCGTTAACGGTCGCTGGCCAGGGCCTGTTAGAAACCAGCTTGTTGCTCCCTTTAATAGCGGAGGCCTGGCCCCTTTGGCACTTCCCGAATTCTTCCAGAGAGGGACCCTCCCGGCCCGCCTTTCCCACTTTCCTTTGCCGGTCCAAGGTGGCTCTTTGGAACAAGGCCGGGCGGAGTGGGGCAGGGCTGTCCGGGTGGGCTGTGTCCGAGACGAGGCGGCGGGGTCCGCGTGAACGCTCGCCTGGCCTGTCTCGGCAGACCTACGAGGACCAGCACAGCAGCGAGGAGGAGGAGGAAGAGGAGGAGGAGAGCGAGGATGGCGAGGAGGAAGACGACATCACGAGCGCCGAGTCGGAGAGCAGTGAGGAAGAGGAGGGCGAGCAGGAGGAAGACCAGCAGAACGCAAACAGGCAGCAGCAGCTGGAATGGGACGACTCCACCCTGACCTACTGATCCCCAGCCCTCTAGGGGCCGCCGCCGCCGCCCTCCATTTTCTTTTGTCTGCTCTTCTGCCCTAGAAGACTCCCCTGCAACCCGCCCACCGCTCCTGAGGCCCCCTGGCACCAGCCGGCCACGTGGCCCAGCCGCCCCGTCCTGCTGTGTCCGTCTCCCTTTCTCTTTGGCCAGTCCCCTTAAAAAGCCCCACCTCTAGCAAGAGAGCAAGCCCTTCCCTCCCTCACCCGCCCCCCAGGGACCGGATGGCAAAGATCGTTTCGAATCCTCGTTTTGCAAGGGACTGCCTTGTATTCCGCTCCTGGGGTCCTTTCGCACAAGGGACGTGACCGCCCTGGCACACGCGACGGCCGACTCCTTGGCTTTAATGTTATTTTTGGCTGGGTGCTATGCTTCTGCTGCGTTCTTGCTGCTCATGCTTTCCTGGGGAAACCATAATGCCAAGACCATTTGGTGACAAAGGGTTAACCGTTTCCTTTTTTTTAATTTGGGGGGCTTTGGTGGGGGCGGCGAGGGTTTGTGGCTCCTTCCATCCCTTGTGAATCTTTTTAAGATACTTTTTTTTTCTCCTCCCAAACTCTAGTGCATGTGTAAAGTGGCAGAATGAGGTTACTATGTAGAAGATTAACAGACTTTTTAATATTTGTAAATATATTGGAATTATGTAATTACGTCACTTGTGGTAGTGAAAACAGGGTGGGGCTTGGGGGGGAGGGAACAAACCGGGCTAAGATTTTAAAAACCGATCACGCAGCATGATGTAGTGATAAGGGTTTTTTTTCCTTCAAAATTCCTGCTGCAGAAGCCGGGGGCGGTGGGGGTAGGGGGAGTCTAATCGATCTTCATGCACCCTCTCTGGGTCTGACGGCCCCTGCCCCTTGCCGCGTGGGTCCTTCTGCATTTTGTTTTTGGGGACACGAAGGCTGCGGCACACGATTTGAAAGTGTCTTTTGCACAATTGGAAGGGCCCGGCGCTTTCTGCTTCCACGCTGTTCCTTGTGGCAGCGCTGCAGGGCGGATGGGGGACGGGTTCGGTTCTGCTCCGTGGGCTGAGCTCGGAGGGGCGGTCGTGACGGAGGCTGGGTGGCATCATTCCAGCGCTGAAGCACTCCTGGTCTTTCCTACTCTCTCCTTGTACAGTACCTTGAGACGTGGGTCTCTTAAGCGTCTGCTGGGGGCGGGTTGACGGAGAGTCACTGTTGTTTACACTGGATGTGCGTGGGTCTTTCCTCTGTCCAACGTGACGAGACTCCCTCTCCCTGGCACCCTCCGTCATGTTTCAGGGTCCAAGAGTTGGGGACACAGGTTGGTGGGGAACGTCCACCCACGCTTTGGAGGGACCAGAGCCGTTCTCTGGCAGAGGTGAGCATGGGGGGCCCATTTGGAGGGGAGTGAGCTCCTCCTCCAGAGACCCTGGAGCGTGCCACTCCTTGCTTCTTTCTCTGGGGCCGTCCTCCTCCTCTGGGGCTACGGCGGGAGCTAATCCGACAGCTTCCTGGAGGGCGCGCCACGTTTATTTTCTCGCGGGGCGGGGGCTGATCTCGCAAGGCACTCCCCAGCTGCTCTCCCCCAGAACAGGCTTTGGAGCTCAGCTCCAAAAGCACCACGGGGCAGACGCGGATGATGGGACTGACGGTTGCGTGCCCTCTTTTGGGGGGGCGGGTGTTGGGATACGGGCTGGCCGGGGCCGGGGGGGGGGGTGGCAAGTGCTTGAAGCAAAGAGCAGCGCAGGGTTTTCCACTCGACAGTAGCACACCAAAGATCGCAGCCCGGCGGCGTCGCTGGGGCCCCCGGCCGGGGAGACGTCGCGAAGCATCAGACGGAGCAGGTGCCTCCCCTCAGCACGGGGGACGTGCTCCCACATGATGCTCAGTCCCTGCCCAGGTGGGAGGCCGGGGTTCTCCCACGCCCTCTTGATTGACGGCCCAGCCCTGGCATGTACTTCAAGGGAAGCTAGTCTCCGGAGTGCCTTTTTAAAATAGGGTGGATCTGACAGCAGGGGAGCCCCCAGGCCACCGAAATCAGCTCCCCCCCCCGGCCCCCGTTTTTGTAACTGTAAAAATTTAAGACTTGTAAAACGCCAGGGAAGCTGGCTTTGCCTCCTCATTCCAGAGAACATATAACTGCTAGTTTTAAGTAAAAACAGGGAAGAGTTCTGATGTCCAAGTTGTCCTGTGTTTTAATGTCACTGTGTAGGAATTTCTAACCCCTTTTTTCCATTATACCGTTACTGTAGCAGCTGTATTTTAGAGACTGTAAACTCCGTCATGTCACTCTCTCTCTCTCTCTCTCCCTCTCTCTCTCTCTCATGCTAATGCTGAAAGGTTGTAAACTTTTTCTGATGCATTTTGTAGCCATCATGGGTCTAACATTTCAGATGTGTATATTGGTAAATAGGTCAAAGTTTGGAAAGTCTGAGCTACAATAAATTTCTGGTTCTAAAAAAAAAAAAAAAAAAAATGAAAGAAAGAAAGGACATCCTTGCTATCAATCCTCCTTTTGTGAGTCCGGGATGGAAGTTTTTGCGCATCAACCGACTTGGTTTTTATTCTAATTGCCACATTGAAATGTGTTCCGGGATTGATAAGCTGAACAAGAAATTAAGTCTTGAGCATTCCTTTGTGAGTGCAAGGAAGGGGTCTTGATTGACCCTGTAAGATTGGGCTCATCTCTCAAAGCTCGATTAGAGTCGTTAGGAAAGATCTTTATGCTAAAATATGCTGCTTTGGACCTCACTTTCTTGCCTTTGGCCTCTACCCACCCTTAAAATGTGCCACTACTCACAATGTCTCTCTGTAAATGACTTCAGTGCTTGGGCTGAGAGCAGTTCATGGCACCATAGGAGAGAGGTCAGCATGCTGCCTTCCAGGTCCCTTATTAAAGCCTTAACACGTTCTCTGCCACTGACAGAATATACTGTACAGAATGACAGTATTTCTGCCAGCTTTCTGTATACTTTCTCGGAAGGAAGTGGCAGTATGTTTAATGAGATTAACTCCCTGTAAGAGTCAAGGATGCTGGCCTTAATTTTCTTAACCTAGATTTACGCCCCTTTTTGGTGTTGAGCATTCCGCCCCAGCAAAACAATCCATCCCTAAAAGAATGACACGGGTGATGTGTTTAGATGCTGGGCCCATTTTTTTTTTTAGAAATAAACCAAAAGTTTGGTCCAAGATGAAACTGTTTGTCTGAAAAACCAGTCCAGCAGCAGAATTTTTTTTGAAGGACGTTGGCCTCCGAGGAGTGCACAGAGTGATTATCCACACAAGTGTAAGATTCACGTGTTCATCCACATGGAAGTGTAACAGCTTGGTTTTCTCTCTCCATTTTGCTCAGGAAAGGCCGGTTCTAGCTGAAGGCTAAGTTAGCCCTTCTGGATTCAGATGGTCACCACACCATCGCCGCTAAATAACACAACGCACTTCGCAGCAGCTCTTCCCGCAGCCCCGTCTTTGGGAGCAACACTAGGTCAGCCACACTCCCATTTTTGCAGAAAGCAACCATTTCAAGCAGGAGTAGGTGGAAGCCAATTCTGCTCAGAAGTGTAATCTTCTTTAATCCACGCCACCTCTGTGTGTCTGTGTGTGAACACACAACTGTTCCCTAAGTGTGTCTGTATTCATACGTGTTAGACAATGCACAACTTCACACGTGGGTATAGAGAAATCTTGCGTGTACACTTCTCCGTACATACAGGTAAGTGTGCTTACATGTGTGCTTAAATACACTTTCCAAGAGGCAGCCACGTGCACACACCACGAGTACAAGACACTGTGTTGTTGTGCTGGTCCAGACAAAAAAGCCACCTGCTGTTTTTCATTCTTAAAAAAGCACCTGAGATTGCACGTAAACTTCCCCACTGCTTGTTTCCATAAATGTAATTCCACGATAGAAATGCTGAGTGAGAGCAGCACAGAGACGCCTCGTCACAATGGGCTCTGTCCAGTTTTCCATGCTGATGATGCAGTTTTCCCAGACTGACGGCTCTGGAAAGACAGCAGCGGGCGCTGGATCGGCGGCTTCCAAATGCAGGTTTGCAAGTCCTTCTGATTGCAAGGCAAGCAGCAATAACATGGCTCAGAAAATAAACACAGTTGACTAGTTCCCTTTCTGTGCAGTGAGTCAAACCTAAAGAAGCAATCTCTCCGAGCCACGGTGAGGAGAGCCAACCGGACCACAGAAATTCAACGCCTGCAATTTTAATAAACTAATAAATGACCCTTGGTTTCTGCACTTGTCCCCTAGATAAGCAAGAGGCATTCTGGTGCAAGAAGCTGCATATAAGAAGTGGATTGATTTGAGCACCGATTTTTGGAAAAACCCAAGGGGTCCCAAGAGGCAGCGTGGGAAAGCAATGCTTTTCAGGGTCCAGTGCTCCAGCATCACACCCTCCAGGTGTGTTCGTGAACTCCCATCATCCCTTAGCCTGTGGCTGATGGGGAGCGACAGTCCAAAGCTCTCAAGGGTGCTGAGTCGGGAAAGGGGCGGCAGCGGGGAGCAGCACGCAGAAATAAAATCAGGCGGATGAGGGCGCTAAAGCAGGGGCATTTCAACGTGTCAGGACTTGGCAGTTTTAAAGGAATGGCGTCTTTAATGAGAGAAAAACAAGAAGTACCGTGACTTAACATGGCCTCCTTTCCTTCCCCATGGAAGAGTCCAGCTCTTCCCGGGTATGGGAGGTCTTTCAAACAACAAATCGCGCTCTGTTCAGCTGGTGAACAAACAAGGTATAGCACACCTGCTTGGGCAGTATAAAATACACATTACACACACACCCACACACCCACACCGTTCCCCAGTCAGCCTGGGGCCCCCACGCGCACAGGTGTGCCAGAGGCTCCTCGTAGGCAGAAACGCCACCGCGATGGCGCTTCTGGCTTCTCTGTGCTGGAGAAACCCCAAAGCCGGCACCCGGTGGGCAACCTGGTTGCCCCGCAAAAGGCGGCTGGACGCTCTCGGTTGCTTTCTGGCAGTGTTTCGAGGAAAGTCCAACCTGCTTCACCCAAACAGCCCAGGAAGGACCGGCCCTGTTTCCCGATGGTCCGAACTTCAGGAGTCGCAAGCCGAAAGGCTCTACTGTCTGTTATCCTTGGACACGTTGTGGGCCAGCCAGTTCACCTTGGTTTTCCAGCTCTCCCGCAAAGCCTCGTTGAACTTGAGCTGGAACTGCTTCCGCGCTTCCTCGTCTGTCTTCCCTAGTGCCAGGGAGTCCTGAAGGAAAGAGGAGGAGGAGGTGATGTGCTATATTTGGGACATTTTGATTCGATGCTGCCCCATACCCTGAGGGTCCTCTGCGGGGCTTCCAAAATGCAAGGCCAGCATATGAAAATGCATTCAGTAAATGAGAGAAAAGCAACAGAATTAATGGAATCATTCAAATGTATCCAACATGGTAAACAATAAGACAAACTCATACTCGAGGGATAAATCTAGTACAGTGAATGAATTAAAGCAGACCATAAAATAATTAACAGCAGGGTTCAATTTTGAGGAAAAGTAACTATGCAGGAGAGAGGCTGCATCTGCATCTCTCTGCGTAGGTAAGGAAATTCTGGCCTTTAACACCCATCAGCCCCAGCCAGCAGAGCCCATGTAGAGGCATCATTCTGACAAGACCCAGTGAACATTTTGTGGCGTACAATGTGCTTGGGCAGGACCCAGAGAGTGAGCCGTGCATTAAAATCCCCAGCTCATGGCCTTGTCCGAAATCAGGTCCAAGGTATCGGCAGGGATGCTGAGCTGCGCAGAAAAAACCACTCAAGGAAGGGTTTTTCAAAATCATGTTTTTTTCAATGGAGCTTTACCCCTATATTAGGGTTAGGGGAGTGAACCAGGGTAGGGTTAGGGTTAGAGAAACGAGGTGTCCTGGCATGGTTTTGATGGTTGGAATGTGTTTAGC